TATGCATCACGAAAAGCAGAGATAAAACCAGGAAGCATTTTATGACATGGGTAGACCTGGAGAACATTATACTGCGTGAGAAGTAGTCAGCCACAAAAGAACACATATCGTATGAGACCACTACTATAATGACATATACCCAAACGAAGACTGATCTACCACAAAGAAAAGACTTTAGAGATTCCCAAGGAGGTGAACCAGTGGACAAGAAAGTGACAAGTATAGACTGGAGTGTAAAGAAACACAAAAGCCCATAAGGGGAAAAAGAGATCTCAAGGGATGGGGGTGGGATAGGATATGGGGTGGGAGCTGAGGAGTGGTTTGAACTGTTGAGTGAACAGTTGATAGTCTGAAATGTGAACGCCTGACCAAACCCATAATAAAAATAAATTAATTAAATAATACAACAGGTAAACTTCTGATAAAATTAATCAAGACTAAGAAACTGCGAGACATATAAACATAGAAATAAAAGGAGAGATATTAAATCACTAAGTATGTACTTATGACTAAGTAGAATATTTCTTAGAAAAATACAATTTAGCAAACTCTCAAGAGAAAAATCTAAGAAACTTAAAAATATATATCCTAAGACCTACAATCTATAAATATGAATCCACAATTTAAAGTTATGAACAAAAAAGGGAAGTTATGTGAGGCCCAAGTAGTTAAACAGACAAGTTCAATCAAACTTCGATAAACACACATACAAAAGAATAGGGTTGGACTCATACCTTGCACATCACATGGAAATTAACTCAAAATTACTCAAAGGAGCAAATATAAGACGGAAAACTATGAAACTCTTTTAAAAAAAGCATAGGCATTGTGACCAAAAATTAGCAATGGAATCTTCTCATACACGAACACTGGAATTCTCATACACTGCTGGTGGAAAAGGAAAAGAGTGGAAGCACACCCTTCTTAACACACACACCAGAATATACATTGGCACAAAATTATTAGTCTAAAAAGTTATTCAAATAGTACTATAATCTGCTATTGCATATATACATGCACACACAACTTCT